CCTTGACCTGTTCTCTGGGTCTTGCCCCTGTGCCTGCTAACTTCCAGCTTCAGTGCTTCAGGTAACCCCCTCCCCATACCTGTGTAGACACCGCCCCTTCAGGCTGCTCCTGGCTCTCACTCCAGGGTGGAACAGTTGCCATAGGAAGAAATAACAGGAGAAAAAGGTCCCACTTAGTTCATTTCAACTCTTGAAATATTTATTGAGTCTACTCAAGGTCAAATATGAATCAGGCATGGTGGCAAATTCTTGTAATCTCAGCAAGTGGAAGCTGAGGCAGGAGGATCCTGAATTTGAGGTCAGATTGGGCTACACAGTGAGACTAACCCCCTCCCCCCAAAAAAGAAAGGGGTCTTGAGAGATGGCTAAGAGCACTGGCTACTCTTGCAGAGGACCTGGGTTCGATTCTTAGCACTCATATGGAGGCTAACAACCGTCCGTAACTCCAGTTCCAGGGGATCTGATGCCCTTTTCTGGCCTCCACAGATATTGCATGCATGTGCACTTGCAGGCATGCAGGCAAAACACTCAATACACATAAAATAAAAATAAATCAAGCTGGGCTTGGTGGTGCGCGGCTTTAATCCCAGCACTCATGAGTCAGAGGCAGGTGGATCTCTGTGAGTTCAAGGCCAGCCTCGTCTACATAGTGAATTCCAGGCCAGCTGGGGCTACAGGAAGACCCCGTCTCAAAAAGAGCCCCCCCCCCCACAAACTTATCAAAAAAATTGACAAATAAATCAAGCTGGGCTTGGTGGTGCACAGCTTTAATCCCAGCACTCGTGAGAGGCAGGTGGATCTCTGTGAGTTCAAGCCCAGCCTAGTCTACATAGTGAATTCCAGGCCAGCTGGGGCTACAGGGAGACCCTGTCTCAAAAAGGCCAAAAAACAAAACATAAAAAAAATCTTTAGAAAGAGAATTATGTGAAGTCCATACCTGTAATCCCAGCATTTGGGAGTCAGAGACAAAAGGATTGGGAGTCCAAATCATTCTTGACTACTAGTGAGTTCAAGGCTAGCCTGGGGTACACAAGATCGCATTGAATTTTGGGAAGACCCTTTGGGCTGTGGTGGAACATGAACTGAGGTCAGTTAATGGAGAGTCGGAGATCCTGGTGGCTCTTAAAATGCTGGAGGCAGTAGGACAGGGAGAAAACACAGATGGGTACGTCAGGAGCTACAGCAGTTCGACTGGGAACATTGGGAGCTGAGGAAGAAGAGTTCAAGTTGATGTTTAGGTTAGTTCCTGGGCACTGAAGGGTGGTGATACCACATGCAAGAGGGCACCTGGCACATGTGGAAGGCAAGGCTGGCCTGAGGCCAGCAGCCAGGCAGGTCAGTGAGGGAGCAGACTCCAGAGGCAGGAGGCTCCAGAGCAGCATGACTAGAACCAACCATGTGGGCATGCTGACGCAGCTGGTACAGAGGGCACAGTGGTGAGGGCTGAGCCCCTGCGGGAGAGGGAGTGTGAGGCACAGAGCAGTGCAGAGCTTCAACAGCTAAGAGAGGGGCAGGGAGCAAAGCCTGGAGAGGCCGGGTGGCACTGCACAGGACACCAAGAGGGCTGCCGATGTGAAGAGGATGAGGGCTCACACACATGTGGGGTTGGTGCCAAGATCCACGTCAGAACTAATGGTGGGGTGCCCAGGGCAGGCTGGAGTAGTTTGAGAGAATTCAAAGAGAAAAGCTGGGTGTGGTGACACAGAGCACAGGCTGGTAGGCCTGGTCTTTTGAGGCTGAGGCTCTCTCTCTGGCTCAGCTGTTTGGCTGAAGAGTAAGCTCATCCTACTCACGGTGGCGTGCTCTGGAGGAGCCGTTAATAGAGATGGGAACAGAGGGCACAAGGCAAGGTATGGGGGCCAGGGGCTCTGGAAGCCTGAGGGCTCCTGGTTTCTAGTTTTTTTCTGTAGCTCCAGCTAGAGCTTACTATGTAGCCCAGGCTAGCCTCAATCTCACAGAGATCACAGCCTGCCCGCTGGGATTAAAGTTAAAGGCGTCCACCACACCTGGCCTGGCTTCTTTAGGAAGTAGGAAGCAAGGATTTACCAAATAGCCACCATTTACTTGGTTCCTTTTGGACAAGGTCTCTTGTAAAGGATGTTGAAGATATGGTGAACTCCTAATCCTGCTTCTACTTCCTGAGTGGTGGGATGGCAGGCATTCCCCACCAAATCTGGCAATAGCTGCCATTTAGTAACCCCTTACCCTGAATACTTCTTAGTTTGTAATTATATTTGAGTAACGTGTGAATTTTCAGTGTCTAGCATAGCACTGGCTCCTATGTGCTTAAGTAGAGCTGGGTAGGTGGGGCATGCCTGGTTTCCCAACATTTAGGAGGTTGAGGCAGGAAGATGGTCAATCTGAAGCCAGCTTCAACTATGCAGTGACACTGTTTCATAACGCCAAGGCTGGGTGCACTGGAGCATGCCTATAATGCCAGCACTGGGGACTTGGGCAGGAGAATCAAGAGTATCCTTTGCTATATGGTGTTTGAGGCCATCCTGGGTTACATGAGACCCTGTCTCAAAAGACCCAACTAGGGGCTGGAGGGATGGCTCAGTGGTTTAGAGCACTGGGTGCTCTTCCAGGAGACCCAAGTTCAGTTCCCAGCACCTGCATGGCAACTAACAGCTGTCCATAACTTCATTACTAGGGGATCAGAGCCCTCCTCTGGCCTCTGCAAGCATTGCATAGTGAATTCCAGGCCAGCTGGGGCTACAGGGAGACCCTGTCTCAAAAAGGCCAAAAAACAAAACATAAAAAAAATCTTTAGAAAGAGAATTATGTGAAGTCCATACCTGTAATCCCAGCATTTGGGAGTCAGAGACAAAAGGATTGGGAGTCCAAATCATTCTTGACTACTAGTGAGTTCAAGGCTAGCCTGGGGTACACAAGATCGCATTGAATTTTGGGAAGACCCTTTGGGCTGTGGTGGAACATGAACTGAGGTCAGTTAATGGAGAGTCGGAGATCCTGGTGGCTCTTAAAATGCTGGAGGCAGTAGGACAGGGAGAAAACACAGATGGGTACGTCAGGAGCTACAGCAGTTCGACTGGGAACATTGGGAGCTGAGGAAGAAGAGTTCAAGTTGATGTTTAGGTTAGTTCCTGGGCACTGAAGGGTGGTGATACCACATGCAAGAGGGCACCTGGCACATGTGGAAGGCAAGGCTGGCCTGAGGCCAGCAGCCAGGCAGGTCAGTGAGGGAGCAGACTCCAGAGGCAGGAGGCTCCAGAGCAGCATGACTAGAACCAACCATGTGGGCATGCTGACGCAGCTGGTACAGAGGGCACAGTGGTGAGGGCTGAGCCCCTGCGGGAGAGGGAGTGTGAGGCACAGAGCAGTGCAGAGCTTCAACAGCTAAGAGAGGGGCAGGGAGCAAAGCCTGGAGAGGCCGGGTGGCACTGCACAGGACACCAAGAGGGCTGCCGATGTGAAGAGGATGAGGGCTCACACACATGTGGGGTTGGTGCCAAGATCCACGTCAGAACTAATGGTGGGGTGCCCAGGGCAGGCTGGAGTAGTTTGAGAGAATTCAAAGAGAAAAGCTGGGTGTGGTGACACAGAGCACAGGCTGGTAGGCCTGGTCTTTTGAGGCTGAGGCTCTCTCTCTGGCTCAGCTGTTTGGCTGAAGAGTAAGCTCATCCTACTCACGGTGGCGTGCTCTGGAGGAGCCGTTAATAGAGATGGGAACAGAGGGCACAAGGCAAGGTATGGGGGCCAGGGGCTCTGGAAGCCTGAGGGCTCCTGGTTTCTAGTTTTTTTCTGTAGCTCCAGCTAGAGCTTACTATGTAGCCCAGGCTAGCCTCAATCTCACAGAGATCACAGCCTGCCCGCTGGGATTAAAGTTAAAGGCGTCCACCACACCTGGCCTGGCTTCTTTAGGAAGTAGGAAGCAAGGATTTACCAAATAGCCACCATTTACTTGGTTCCTTTTGGACAAGGTCTCTTGTAAAGGATGTTGAAGATATGGTGAACTCCTAATCCTGCTTCTACTTCCTGAGTGGTGGGATGGCAGGCATTCCCCACCAAATCTGGCAATAGCTGCCATTTAGTAACCCCTTACCCTGAATACTTCTTAGTTTGTAATTATATTTGAGTAACGTGTGAATTTTCAGTGTCTAGCATAGCACTGGCTCCTATGTGCTTAAGTAGAGCTGGGTAGGTGGGGCATGCCTGGTTTCCCAACATTTAGGAGGTTGAGGCAGGAAGATGGTCAATCTGAAGCCAGCTTCAACTATGCAGTGACACTGTTTCATAACGCCAAGGCTGGGTGCACTGGAGCATGCCTATAATGCCAGCACTGGGGACTTGGGCAGGAGAATCAAGAGTATCCTTTGCTATATGGTGTTTGAGGCCATCCTGGGTTACATGAGACCCTGTCTCAAAAGACCCAACTAGGGGCTGGAGGGATGGCTCAGTGGTTTAGAGCACTGGGTGCTCTTCCAGGAGACCCAAGTTCAGTTCCCAGCACCTGCATGGCAACTAACAGCTGTCCATAACTTCATTACTAGGGGATCAGAGCCCTCCTCTGGCCTCTGCAAGCATTGCATGCACATGGTACACTTACATATATGCATGCAAAACTCATACATAAAATAAATTGGCAGCTGGAAAGGTGGCTCAGGGGTTAAAAGTACTGGCTGCTCTTGCAGAGGACCTGAGTTTGGTTCCCAGCACCCACATGGTGGCTACCAACAGTCTGCAACTCCAATTCCAGGGGACTGGACACCCCTCTTCTGGCCTCCATGGGCACTGCATGACACAGGTTCACTGAAGTAGAAGGAGGCAAAGCAGCCTTCCCTGGTACTCCCCTTACCCATTGTGAAGGGGGGAGGGTGTTGTGCTTATTTTTCAGAGCAAACAGAACCAGGAGACCCAGCTGATGAAGCCAGGCTGACTTAGGGATAGATGAGAACTATCCCTTGGATCAGCACCTTCCTGAAGACTCTGAAGCCCATAAATTAAATGCTGTTTAATGAAAACACCACACCTTATCAGTTGGATAAATTATGAAATTTATTTATATTTCACCTTTTAAAAGTCAGAACATAAACAAGCCTCACTTTCTGGAAAGTTATCTATTAAAATACACGCAGTATACTGATGCAGATGTTCCTGCTCTGTGATATGGACGTTCTGCATAAGTACCCGAAGTAATGGTTCTGATACCCCCCCCCCCCCCAACTTCTCCTGAGACAATTCAATGCAGTGAGGTCTAAGCAAACTGCTTCCAGAAATGACAGTGAAGAGGCCCTTGGCATGTGAGCCCTTCCAAGTTAACACATTAGGAAAAAAAAGACCCTGCCCCACCTTTGCTATTCTAGGTATCTGAGCTAGCTTTTCCCTGGCAGGAAGAGGCCCACAGCAGTCAGAAGCACAATACTGTGTGCAGCCTCAGCCAAGGCAAACCTTCCACATTCAGACTAGAGTCATGTGACATGAGTGACCCCAAACCCACATGCCTTTGGTCAGTCCAAGGACCTGCTCCTACAGATCAGGCTAGTAGCTCTGACTCAGGCTTCTTGAGCTGCTACTGAGTGAGTGCCCAGTATATAGCTTGTCTTAACTGCCTGCAGGATGCACTGTGCCTTCCCAGCAGTCTTTCCCATGAGACCACAGGGGTGACCCTGATGCCCTACAGCTTCTGCACTCAAAGGCAGGGTTTAAATTAAAACAGAGCCACACAAGGAAACTAGAGTAAGGACACAAAGTGTGACAGCAAAACCACCTCAGGTTAATCTATGAAGTAGACAAACAGTGGCCACGGGGCCAGTCCCCTCCCCCCAGGCTCCTTTACATACCTCAGAACCAGACTGTCAGTGGACACCTGACAGAGGTGCACCCAACTCAGTCACCTTAAAACACTTCATTAGTTTGCAAATGAGTCAGAAGCTACACCCCCTATCTCCTAGCTGACCCTCCTCCCCACTTATGGATCAACACATCTGCTTTCTAACCTAGAACAGTTCCACTAAAAATTTATGGTTATCCTCACCCTAAAAAGGCACCCTTAAGGCATTTAAGACAGAACCAGTCAGTTCTAAGGGCACGTAGGAGGTGTAGGAAAATATCACTAAAAACCTCATTTGCTAAACCCACAGTGTTCACCCTAGGAGGGTTCTTAACTTGGGTCCTGGGATGCTGCCAAAGGCCCTCAACAGCAGTACCCAGCCAAGGAGCTGCTGTCCTGGCCACATGCACTGTTGCAAAGTTCACACCCCTCAGTGCAAGGAAAGGAATCCGTTTCATTGTGCTATTCATGACCCAGGAAGGTCCTGGCTGGCTCAGAGGACCTGAGAGAGGAGCACTGATCAGGAGGGACAAACATGAAGTGGAAGGTGGACTCTCTTCTAAGGAGACTCCAGGGAGTAGCTGGGGGCAGAGGAAGACTAAACACAGGACAGACAAGTTACTGGTGGGGAAGACGGCAATGGCAAGAGCCAAAGGGAAGAGGACTCTGAGCTGGCGCCCATGTCCCTCTGAGAAGTGACTCTGTCCCGAGCCGTGGCTCATTTCCAGGTCTACTTTATAGGCAAGGTACAGGGATCCAAAGCTCACACCCGACCCATAATAGAAGCTCTAGAACATGAGACGGATGGTGAGGACCCAGCTCATTGGTCAATGATGGAGCGCTGCAACACCTGGTTCATCATGTCCTCTTCATCAACATCGTAATCCTGGAGAAAAGACGGCAGCCTCAGCAACTGTTCCCAGTTACCAGGATTCACCTCCAGCAGGAGCTGCCAGGACCAGGCCACTGAGATGTTGTGTAACTGGGAACATTACTTCATCTCTTAGGGTCTCTGCTGCCTCATCATTAAATAAAAATAATTCCTGGGGCTGTAGAGATGGCTCAGTTGGTAAAGTGCCTGCAGTGTAAGCATAAGGACCTGAGTTCAGATCCTAGTGCCATGTAAAGGGAGGGGAATGGAGTTGTGTGTCTGTATTCTCACTGTTGAAGTGGAGATGGGAAACATGGAGGCTTGTCCTGCCAGCCAGCCTAGCCCAGTGGGTGAGCTCCAGATTTAGTGAGAGGCCCTGTCTTAACAAATAAGGTGGAGAGTGACAGGAAAATGCCTGATATTGACCTCTACACATGCATGCACAGGTATACATGAATACACCCCCACGCCCCGACACACACACAGAGGACTGAGTGGCTCAGATAGCACATGGAGCCTGGCATACACCAAGTACTCAGATGTTCACTTTAGCTCATGGGTACAGAACACCTGCACAGTCAGCTGAAGTGCTTCCCAAGTGCTGGCTTCAGAACCCAAGAAAGAACAGGGCTTCTTGAAGGCCATAAAGGCACAGCAGAAACTGTAGTCAAAACCACCTTTTTTTCCTTAAAGACAGTTTCACTATGCAGTCCTGCCTGGCCTGGAAATTGCTATATAGACCAAGCTGGTCTTCAACTCACAGAGACCCATCTACCTGCCTCTGCCTCCGGAGTGCAGGGATTAAAGGTGTGTAACACCACACCTGGTAAAATAACCTTTAATGAGGCAAAATTATCTACTTGGGCAGTTTTAGGAATTATACTCACCTCTACAGCATTAGTAAGATGAACAATTATCTTAAAGTCTTATTTCAAACACTGTCAGCCTGAAAACAGGACCTTCTATAGCCTGGGCTGGTCCTGAACTTGCTAGATAGCGGTAGCTGAGGTTCGCCTTAGTGTCGGCATTACAGGTGTGTGTTCCTACACCCAGGGAGAATTTTTTTTTTTAAAGACAGGGTTACTTTGTAGCCCAGGCTGTCCTCATATTCACTGGTCTTCCTACTTTAGCGAGGTTTTTATTGTTTTTGGTCTTTTTGAGACAGGGTCTCCCTGTAGCCCCAGCTAGCCTAGAACCTACTATGTAGACCAGGCTGGCCTTGAACTCAGAGATCTGCCTGCCTCTACCTGAGTGCTGGGACTAAAGGCATGCGAGATATATATTTTTATGTGTATGAATGTAATGTCTGCATGAATATAAGTGCACCTGTTTTGTGCAATGCCCAGTGAGGTCAGAAGAGGGCATCAAAACCCCCAGAACTGGAATTACAACAGTTGTTAGTGGCCATGTTGAGTGCTGGGAACCAAACCCAGGTCTTCTAAGAACAGCCAGTGCTCTTAACTGCTGAGTCATCTCTTCAGTCCCAGAATAAATATTCTTTATAGCCATTTTGGAATGAGCTTTTTGTCTCAGATCCTGAAATCTATCCATTAAGAACAAACACTTTTTTTTTTTTTTTTTTTTTTTTTTTGTTTTTTTTTTTTTTTTTCTTTTTTGAGCAAGGTCTCCCTGTATCCCTAGTTGGCCTGGAACTATGTACACCAAGCTGGCCTTGATCTCACAGAGATCTGCCTGTCTCTGTCTCCAGAGTGCTGAAATTAAAGACTTGCACCATCAATGGAGACAGCAATACTGGACCTGTTTGGTTTTTTGGGGGGCTTTTTGAGAAAACTCCTGCCTCCACTTCCCAACAAGAGCCCTACCACACTGAGGCCTGTGCTCCTGAGGGTTTTGAAGATTATTACTTTATGTGTGTGAGTGAATGCTACATGTGTGCAGGTCCCTGCAGAATCTAGAAGTAGGTGTCAGAGCCACTGGAGCTGGAGTCACAGGTGGTTGTGAGCCACCTGATATGGGTGCTGGGAACTGAATCAGGTCCTCTGCAAGAGCAAGAAGTGGTGTTAACAGCTGAGAGCCCCACCCTGGTTTTTGTTACTGTTACTTTGTTTTTGTGCTGCTAGAGGTAGAACCAGGGCTTCCTGCATGCTCTGGGTAAGGGTTCAATCACTGAGCCACAGCCCAAGCCAGGCTTGTGTTTCCACATGACAATGTCAGCTGGAGTTGATGGCAGCATGACCTGAGTCATATCCTCAGCTCACGAGGCCATTTCATCACGTGCCTAGTTCTTACGGGTGGCTAAATGCAAATAAGTTCTATGACAGGGAAAAATCACAGTAACAGAAGAAAATGGGCAAAACTGGGAGGCAGAGCTGGGGAAAAAAAAGAGTAAGACTCTTCATGTCTGTCTAGAAAGCCACCAGGGCATCTTAAATCCACTCTGGCATCCACCCACCCATGAAGACATTGTGCAGCTGCCCTTCTGCAGACTGGGAGCTCCTCCTTGGGCAAACAGGCCCCCAGACACCTTTTCAGAAAAGTGAGCAGCAGTGTTCCCTGGGGTGGGAGCAGACTCACCACAAAAGTATCGTAGGAAAATTGGTGGCGGCGCTGGATGTGCTCTATGAAGTTGGCGCTGCGGTAGTTGGGGTCTCCCCAAGGCATAGAGGCACATATCGGACAAACCTGTCAATGAAGCAAGGTATTAGGAACCTAAGGCCTGGTCACCCGGTAAACAAAGTAACCCAGAGAACACTGGGAGTCTGTTACTCAATTCCATTTGAGCAGAGGTAGTGGTGCATGCTTGTGACCCCAGCACTGAGGAAGCAGAATCAGGGCATTCAAAGTCATAGATGACCATATAACAAGCTGGAGGCCAGCTTGGGCTACATGTTACTAATCCGAGGACAGCGGATGCTCAGCACAGGCTGCCCTGCAGTGTCTGTCTACACATTCCACACCATCTTCATCAACCCCTTGGGCTGGCATAGCTCACAGGAGGGGGAAGGCAGCACCATGGGTCTTACACCTCAGGTGGCAGAACTCCTGATCCTCCTTTTCCTGAGCCTATGCTCTGCTCACAGTTTCTAACCCAAGGCAGCAGGAAGGCCACCAGCTTTGCCCACTCAGTGCACGATTTGGAGATAAAGCTGACTGCTCAATTTCCTGGAACTCAGACAGTGGGTAGCAATTGGCATTAAGATCCCAGGCTTCCCTTCTTGAATCTGAGAGGCATGCTCAGCTTCCTTAAACTCAGAGCTGGAGTTTGCCTCCTGAATGCATGAAAGCCCCTCTAAATTAGCTCAGGCCCACATCCAGGTCCTTTACAGGTCACCTCTCATTAGGGAACCTGGAAGTACTGCCTACTTCTTGAGCTGATGAGACCTCTTAAACTGGTTATGACAATACCACATTATCCTGACACTTTTTGGGTTGGTGATGTGGCTCAATTTGCCTATGATGTGCAAGGCCCTGGTGCTAATACCCAGAATTGAAATAAAACCAACCTATCTGGAGCTGGGCATGGTGGTACAGGCCTAGAACCCTGGCACTTAGGTGAAAGCAGGAGTATCAGAAGTTCAAGGTCATCCTTGGCTACCTGGTGACTCTGAGGCCAGCCTGGGCTACATGAGACACTGTGTCAAAAAAAAGTGATTTTATAAGATAATGTTAAGCTATACACTGATGTATTTAGTATTTAGGGAGTAAAAGATAACAGTATCTCTAACTTCTTCCCAAATGGCTCATCAAAAAAACATGCATACATTGCCAAAGGTGGTGGTGCACACCTTTAGTCCCAGCACTCTGGGGGCAGAGGCAGGCGGATCTCTGAGATGGAGGTCGGCCTGGTCTGACTGAAGAGCTCCAGGCCAGCTATGGCTAGAGACCCCCTGTCTAGGGGAAAAAAACTACGCATTTGTGAATCTAGGTGAAAGGTACATGAGATTTCGCTGTTCATCTTGCAATTTTCTGTAAGTCTGACTTTTACCTAATCAAAAAAGAGGAAAAAAGTAACTCTTACAACAGCTTTGGTATCTGTGCTGTGGGATAACTTGCAGTGCTCCACAAGTCCTTCCTGGTCAAAGTTCTTCTCAGGGCAGTAAGGACAAGGAAAAGTGTACCGGTTTGGAACATTCCTGGGAGGTGAGACACAGAAGAAACATCTTGAGAACCTTTCCACCCAACTCCAACGGCTGCATACGTCAAAGAGCAAGCTCACTGCTGATGCACTAGGATTCTGACCACACTTCAAAGCTGAGTGTTCGGATCATCAACAGCACAGCTAACGTAGAACAAATGAAGACCCCATCTGAATCTGTCAACGACAGCCAGCATAGTGACCACACCACCTCCAACTTCCCAAATTCATACAGCAAACCCTTGGACATGAAGCATCCTCATCTTTCTAGCTGAAGGTGGACTCTAGCCAAGGGTGGTGGGGTCATTACCTGGGCTGAAGGGATGCATCCTTGGCGGTGGCCTTCACGCCCTCCATGATGTAATTCTGGTACTTGGAACATGAAGCCACGTGGGCCCGGATCTTAGATAGGAAGAACTTGAATAGGAAGAGAGGGACCCACAAGTTAGTGAGGAGCTTTTATCAGGCACAATCCCAAATCAAGGGCACAATGACAGCTAGATCTGCATCACCCTGGTGAACAGCCTCACCACTCCTGACTACGCCAGGAGCTCATGCAGGTTCTTCACTGATGCCAAGACTAGCATCTCACTTGACCAGATCCCAGCACTGCCTCCACTGTGAAATGCCTCCTAGAGGCCTAGGCCTGCTTTCCTCACCATCTGGACTATCTGCTTACCCAGACATTCCAAATCCAGGCATGTTTTAAAGTTTTCTACACTCACATTTACTAATTTTTGTGCATGCAGTGTGTGTGTGTGTATATAGCTATTCCACCTTGTTTGAGATCAGGTCTCCTTGTTGCTAGGTAAGCCAGGTGAACTGGCCCACAGCTTTGAAGACTCCTGTCTCTGCCTTCCATCTCCCTGTAGAGCACCCCAGAACTCCAGGTGCCTGTGTGACTACATCTAGCTTTCATGAGGGTTCTGAGCTCAGGTCTCAAGCTGGCAGGTTATACAACAAGAGCTTCTAGTTGCAGGCCCTACACTCACATTTAAATTGGTATTTTAGCTGGGCGTCATGGCCCGTACCTGTAATCTAAGCTCCCGGGAGGTAGAGGCAGGAGGATCAGGAGTTCAAGGTCATCTTCAGCTACACAGTGAATTTGAGGTCATGGTGGGCTACACGAGACCCTGCTTTAAAAAAAAATTAAAAACAAAAAAAAAGTCTCTTTGCAGTGAGCCCTCAGTGATTCCATTATGTACAACAGAGAAAAGCAAACACATAAGCGATAAGAGGCTAGGAACCCTGCTAAAGTCTTCAACAGACTGCACTGAATCTTCTCTAAAAGGAAGAAATCTGAATTCCTTAAGTCCTAGAGTGTACAACAGAAATATGGAAAGAAAAATCCTAGAAGAGTGCTGCATCACAGGGCCTCCCTTCCTTACATGCTGCTGAGGTCTGAATAGGGCCTCACACATGCAAACCAGAGCTCTACTGCCAATACATTTCTAGGCATGCCCCCGGCCCCACCCCCCCTGCGGACGGGGATGGTGAGGGGGCACTGAGGATGACACCCAGGTCCTGGTAGGTAAGTGCTCTACTGCTGAACTCTGTCTCCAGCTGTGTTGTGTTTTTTGTTTTTGATACAGTGTCTCCCTATAGTTCCAGCTGGCCTAGAACTTATTCAGTAGACCAGCCTGGCTGGCCTCCGTCTCACAGAGATCAGTCTGCCTCTGCCTCCGAGTGCTGGGATTAAAGACTTGTGCCACTATGACAGGCTAGTTTTTTGTCTTTTTACTACCTCCCCCTTTAGAGACAGGGTTTAAAACCCAGGCTGACCTGAAGCAATCCTCTGGTCTCCTAGGAGTTCTTACAGAAAAACTAAGAAATGAAGGGGGGTAAAGGGAAGAGATGCTTTTCTAAAGGTACAGTACAATCATTAATTTTTATTTTACTTTGAGACAGGGTCTCATCTAGCCAAGCTGGCCCTGAACTACCTTCCTTGCCACTACCTCCCCAGTGCTGGGATCACAGGCATGTGCCACTACACACAGCTCCAGTAATCTTTAACATGGAGAAAATTAAAAGCAAACTGGGTAGAAAAGTGTGCAAGGAACACTGAGGTAAACTAGGCTTCATGGTGCAGGCTTTGGGATCTGGTTTACTTAGGAAGTTGAGGCAGAAGAATCTCAAGTTTAAGGCCTGCCTGGGTAACTTTACCAAGTTTTGTTTCAAAGTGTGGTGGTGCATGCCTCTAATCCCAGTGCTCAGGAGGCAGAGGCAGGAGGCTCTCTGAGTTCAAGACCAGCCTGGTCTACATAGAGTTTTCCAGGCTAACCAGGTCAGAGTGAGACCCTGTCTCAAAATAAAAAGTTCAGGCATAGCTCAGTGGAGCACATGCCTAGTTACCTGGCATGTTCAATCCTCATTACCTGGAGAGAGAGAGAGAGAGAGAGAGAGAGAGAGAGAGAGAGAGAGAGAGAGAAAAGACACTATCGAGAGAGATCGAGATCTGAATTTGTTAGAAAGTGGTAATAGCCAGGCATAGTAGTGCCTGCCTTTAGTCCCAGGACCAGGAGGAAGAGGCAGGTAGATCTCTGTGAGATCAGGACCAGCCTGGTCTACATAGTGAGATCCAGGCCAGCTGGGGCTACAGGAGACACTGTCTCAAAAAGACAAAAAAGGAAAAATTTTCCAATTCCTGAGCTACCAAGATGGTGCTGTTGTTCCCCCAGCTCAGGAATTGTTGCCTTTAAGCTGTCAACCAAGGAGCTCCCATTTAAGGTAAGAACTAGCCCTGTACAAATTGTAACAGTCTCACTATGCACCCCAATGCTAAATCACTCTGAAAAGAAGGAAGTGGTAGATAACTCCTCACTATGGCCATCTACACTATGTTAAAAAATAATGAAACATGTTGGGCGTGGTGGTGCATACCTTTAATCCCAGCACTTGGGAGGCAGAGGCAGGCGGATCTCTATGAGTTCAAGGCCAGCCTGGTCTACACAGTGAGTTCTAGGACAGCTTGGGCTACAGGGAGACCCTGTCTCAAAAAGACACCCCCCCCACCACCAAAAAAAAGAAACTTAAAACTGGGCATGGTGGCCCATGCTTGTAATCTCACCATCCAGGAGGCAGGAGATTAGGTGATCAAGGTATACAGTGAGTTTGAGAGCTGCCCTGGGCTATAGGAAACCCAGTATAAAAAGGGAGGAAGAGAAGAAAGAAGTTAGTTACTGGGCTTGATGGCTCATGCTTGTGATCTCAGCACCTGAGAGGTAGGGAGGCAAGAGATCAGCTCAAGGCCAACCTTGGTCATGGGAGACCCTGTCTTTCAAAAACAAAAACAAGAAAACAGCATTGGGGAGGCAGAAGCAAGTAGACCTCCGTGAGTTCAAGGTCAGCCTGCTCTACATTAGGGTATTCTATACTTTTTGTACTGCCTGGAATCAATAAAAATTGTAATGATTTATAAACCAGTAAGGAAAATAAAGCAACTTTCCAAATGTAACAGCAACTGCACTCAACCCTGATGAAAGCACACCAAGAGCACATGCATTCCAAATGCTGGACACTGCCTAGAAACCGCCACTACCGTCACCAGCCTCAAGAGCTAAAAAGCTGAGCCATTACATTTACATCTCCAATGATACATTATGACACTTTCCTTTGACCTCAATGCAGATTGTCTCATATATCCCAGGCTAGCCTATATAGATAGCTAAGAATGACCTTGAATGTCTGGTTCTCCTACCTCCACCCTTAGAGTGCTAGGACTACAGGTGTGTACCACCACACCTGGTATATAGGGTCCTGGGAATGGAACCTAGGATTTCCCATGCTAGGTAAGCACTCTCCTGAATGAGCCACATCTGGAGCCCTAGATTTTAAAAAATTTTTATTTTATTTTTTTGGTCTTTTTAAGACAGGGTCTCCCTGTAGCCCCAGCTGGCCTGGAACCTGCTATGTAGACCTGGCTGGCCTTGATCTCACAGAGATCTGCCTGCCTCTGCCTCCCAAGTCCTAGGATTAAAGGAATATGCCACCAGCCTGGCTCCTATTTTTCATTTTTTAGAACAATCATGAACTACCCTTAGTCTAATTAAAATCAAGCACATTTTAGAATAAAAATCAACTTTTTTTAGACAGGGTCTCATGTAGCCCAGGCTAGCTTAATCTTCCTGCTATTACTTTCCAAGTGCATGGATTAGAAGTGTACACCACACCTAGCTGAAAATGGGTCTTTGGAGGGGGAGAGGGGAACCTAGGATAACTGATTTCTATGGCTTTTAAAGGTAAAATATATAAATCACTGTGACGGTGTTTACCCATCTCATCACTGAAAGACACTGACTCCACGTCCCGTCCACATACATTCTTACGGCAGCCATGGCATGAAGTCTCTGTGCTCTCCATCTGCCGCTCGAGCTCCAGAGCTCGGACGCCAGGTGCCAGAGCGCTGCGACACACCCCACAGACAGGTTTCTTCGGCTTCAGACATTCCTGCAGGCATGCAGAGCAAAAGCTAGAACAAGACATACAGAGAAGCTTGTCATGCATCGTGAAGACAAGACAGCAAATGTGGATCAACTCTGAAAAAAAACACCAATGAACAATGGGTTAAAAACAGCTTTTTCTCTGTTCTGATTCAAATACCAAGTCCTTCCAGGCCACAGACTCTATTTGGGCTTGGGGAGACCATGGAGAACACACAGGTCCAGTAACACACACACAAGTCCCCTGCTGCACGGTAGGTACTTTAGCCTTTGGGCGGAGTGCCTGCTACTCGGGAATCTTGGGGTTTTCTGAGCCCAGATTTCTCATGTGTGAATGAGAAGCTAATACCCACCTGGAGGGTTGTTTGGAGTATGGACTGTGTATGGCGGACAGTTAATTCAGTGTCCAGCACATGGAACACAGAGTAAACGGAACTGCCATCATTAGAGGTGAAAGCAGAGCATTCTGGGGACACAGAAAACCCAACAGAATGAGCTATAACCCAGACCTGGGCTGGCCAGACTTCTGACAGTCTCTGGGATCCACCGTAAGATCCCAGCAGAGAAAGGGCAGAATATTCAGGCCCTCAGAATTAACCACCCCCCTTTTTTTCAAAAGTAGAAAATTTGTACAAAGGCAAAGCAGACAGTAGAGATCAGAAAGACACTGCAAGGAGCAACAGCCGCAGATGAGTGAGCACTCAAGAGGTAGGTTCAAAACTTTCTAAAATCTAAAGTTTTCCTCCAAAGCAGGAGAGGGTCAAAGGTTTTTTTGAAAGCAAGGTATTAAAACTGAATCCAAGTTTCAGAAAAATCAACTCTGGCATGCTACAGACAACAGCACTTTTGCTTTTTTAGGTGAAGAAAGATGAGGCCAAAGTGCAAAACTAACAAATGACTCAGGGCAAGGGCTCCGAAGCCTGCCAGAAGCCAGGAAACGCAGGCTGGTTCAGAGAGGCAGCACTGGTGGCTTAATGAGTTGGGAGATGACAAAGGTGCTGTTGACCACTTTAACTTTTCTTAGGGCAAAGTGGAGCCCAGACCAAGTCCCTGAGTCCCCTAGAATGCTACATTCTAAGTTGAAGAAAACACATGGAAATTTCATATGGTACAAAGTATACGGAGGAAATAAAACACAGAGCTTAGCAGGGGGAGCACAGGAAGCTTCTGTCGGGACACTGAACTGAAAGCCAGAGGCTGTGCACAGCAGGAAACACCAAGGGCTGTGAAGTGCAGTTGGGAGGGCTTTCAGGCTGATGTTGTAGACCAGACAGAAAAGACAAGGCGGGGTGAGCAGGGCCTCTGCAAAGGCAGGGCCAAGAGTAACTCAAGACAGCACAGTGAAAGCAGCCCAGCATGCAGATAAAAGCAGCTAGCTAATGGTCTATCACATGCCTACCAGCCTCGGGCATGTCTGAGCTAGAACAGGCAAGCAGCCAACTGCTAGGATGCCTGTGTGCACTGGGCTGACTTTCAGTTTCTACTTCCTACTATCAGGTGTTTCTAGTACAGCCTTCCTGTCAGTGTGGCCAGCTTCCCTCCCCTTCCTTCCCAGGCCGTATTTGCTAGACTGGAGAGGGTATGGCTGCTCAGGGCTTGACAGGTCTATCAAAACGCAATGCCCGCAGCACAGCTGTGGGGGATGCTCAAGTTTCCAAGAACAAACGCTAGAAAGCAGCTAGGTGAAGTACTTGGGTGAGATTAAGGGAGACTTGAGCTGCCCTCATCACCGTGTATCTGCCGTCAAATAGCATCAAAGTGCTGGGCAGTGCGCTTAGCTTCAGAGCCAGTGCTGCCCCTGCCCTCTGGCCTAGGAGCCATTCAGGGAAGCCTCAAATTCTTTGGCTTTTCAATCAGGTCAAGACATTTTACAAACCTTAATGGACCCCTCCCAACACCCTTGTAATACCTTCCTACACAATGCTGGAGCACTCATTAGCTCTTTTTTAAGTGCTACATTTATGTGTGTGCCTCTGCTCCTGTGGAGGTAAGGACAGCGTTTTCCTTTTTTCGGGAAATCAGTTCTCTCCCTCCACCCCGTGGATCCCTAGGCATAAACTCAGGTCATCTGGCTCTGGTGGCAAGCTCCTTTCCCATTAAGCCATCTTGCTGACCCAGTGCTTATTTAAAAATCAATGTCCTGGGCTATAAACCTGAGGGAAAACTCTCTTTTCCACTCTACCCTTCTGACAACAGAGGGCACGAAAACACCCTGGTCAGTTGACTGCAAAGGACTATGACTTGGCTGTGCTTGGCACTGGGACATGGTCCTCTGTCTTCACCATCTCTCCGGGTCGCTCTGTACAAGAAACAAGCAGGCAAACGCTGCCCAGGAGAGAAGTGAGGGAGTCCACACTGCCGCCTGAAGCTCGAGATCTGGGGTGAGTGGCGGGGAGGTGGGTGTGAGCCCCTCAACTTAACTGCAAAGAGGCACGGCCCCGGGCAGAAGGAACTTACTGCAGACTTGACAGTAACAAGCAGCCAGTGGTGCTCAGGAAGCCCTGCTGTCTTGCCGGGAAGGTTCTCTGAGTAGACCCTTGCAGCACACCTGATCCTGCAGAGCCTCAGGCCTCCAAGTTTACTCACCTGGAAAAGGCTGACCACGCCCCCATCCTCCCCACCCCGGGGCAGGATGCCAGCACCTGCCGATTCTGGTCACCAGAACCAATGCCCACGGACAATCAGAGGGGGCCCAGAGGCTATGTCAACTTCCCAGTGTTCTCAGCTGAGGGGTGTCTGAATGTGCGATGGGGCGAGAATTGGATTCAAACCCTGCCATCCTCCGTCCTCGCGCTCCATCTATATAATCAGCTGACTGCGCCGGCGTATTCAGGCCTCTGGCCCGGAAGCCTACCTGACAAGGCTCGCCTGGCACCGAGCGGCGCACCTAGCTCTGAGCACCCGCAGCCCTCCGCTGGCGACGTGGCTTTTGTTATGGTCGAGCTCCACGCTCCTCGCTCCTTCCCCGGCGCCCGCCACCACCACTCGGCCGCCCGTCCGGCTCCCATCCGGGCCCTGAGGCCGCGTTTCTCCAACTCCCGGCGCCCCGCGGACTCGGCGGACTACGGCCCCGGCTCCGGGGAACCTGACAGGCCACTGAGACGCCGCCCGCCGCCTGCGCTCCCGTCCCGCCCCGTCAGGTCCGCCCCCGCCACTTACACGTGTCCGCAGAGCACCTGCACCGGCTTCTCGTACACCTCCAGGCACACGGGACACGTGAAGCGGCCGAGGGGGTCGGCCTCGGGCGTGGGCCTCGACAGCTGCGCAGCGCCCTCCCGGAGCTGTTGCTGCGCCGCCATCTTGTCCCCATCGAGCGCAGCGGAGCGCGAGGATGAGGCGCCGAGAGGGCGAGGCCGCCAGAGTCGGCGCACGCGCGGTGGGCGTGGCTGGAAGCGGCTGGTGGGCGTGGTCAGGTCAGGCGCTGGCAGCTGGGGATGGGGCTGGCTGCAGGACGCCCGCCGGCCCTTTCAGGCTGCATCCTCTACACCAAATTAATTCTGTCAACAACCTACCTGCGTTTGGAAATGGCACCTCCCCCACTTGAGCCCCCAGATGCGAAGGCCTCCCACCCAGACATGTTCATCGCAGCCTGATGGAGCCTAAAAAGGGGACCCAGCCACAACATGCCCACGTGCTTCACCACAGGCACTACAAGACCAGGGACCTGTGTTGTTGGTCTTAGCCAAAGGCCTAAGAAGCAGGTGTTATAAATATACATTGTAAGGGTTTAAATAAGTTTGGGGGTAGTTTGTTTGGCAGCAGCAGATTTAACTATTACAACCTTCTTTGAGTTATTTTTTTTATAACTGTTATAAAGTTACAAGAGCACAGACCCTTTTCAAGGCTTTATTTTATATTTGTGCTACCTAATACTGTAACAATTTTAATTTTAAAACATTATCTTTGTGGGTTTTTTTGTAGTGCTGGAGTTGGAGGTAGGTCCTCATAGATGCTAGGTAAGTGCTCTTCCACTGAGCTGTACCTCCAAGCTCTAAACTGAAATACATTCCTTGGATGAAGTGACTCACATCTGTAATCCCAGGACTTGTGAAGCTGTCAAGAGTTTGAGGCTAACCTGCAAAACACAATGACTTCCAGCGTTCCAGGCCAGTCTGGCATATAATGTGAGACCTTGTCTCAAAAAAAAAAAAAAAAAAAAACCCCAGAAACCAGACACAGTGGCCCCAAGTGTTTAATCCCAGCACTCGGGAGGCAGAGGCATGCGGATCTCTGTGAGTTCAAGGCCAGCCTGGTCTACATAGTGAGTTCCAGGACAGCTGGGGCTACAGGGAGACCCTCTCACAAAAAGACCGAAAAAAAAAAGCAAAAAACAAAACAAAAACATTAAATATAATTAAATTCACTGGCGTGGTGCTGCACGCCTTTGATCCCAGCACTCTGGGGGCAAAGGCAGGCAGATCTCTGTGTATGGAGGCCAGCCTGGAAGAGAGTTCCAGGCCAGATGGGGCTACAGAGACAACCTGTCTCAAACAACAAGTTAAATTAATCCCAGCATTTGGGAGGCAGAGGCAGGTGAATCTCTGTAAGATCAAGGCCAGCCTGCTCTACATAGCAAGTTCCAGAACAGCTGGGGCTACAAGGAGACCCTGTCTCAAAAGGCAAAAAAAAAAAAAAAATTCCATTATTCTGTCTCAGGAACCACATGTGACTGGTGGCTAGGTATTAGATGAAGCAGATGTACAGAATTACTCACAGAAAGTCCTCTGGACCAATCTATGCAATGCCCAGCAAAGTATTGATCACAGTGGAAAAGACTGGGGCAGCATAAGACATGGGAGGGGAGGATGGGGGGAACGACACCAGGGGCCCTCATGAAGAAAGGAACCCGGCCTAGCTCTTGTGTGGCCTGAACCTTCTGCCAATTTCATGGATCCTTTTGTTTTGAGTCAGTGTCTATGTAGCCTTTGAGGGCCTGGAACTCTCTCTGTAGACCAGGGTGGCCTTGAATTTCTGAGAGCCTCCTGTCTCTGTCCCTTCTGAGTGCTGAGATTACAGGCATGTACCATCATGCCCAGTTTAAATATTTTTTTTGTGTATATGTGTGCCTATGTTTCTGTATGCCAAGTGTATGGAGGTGCCAGCAGAGGGCATTAGATCCTCTCAAGCTAGAGTTACAAGTGGTTGTGAGCTGCCTGGTATGTGCACTAAGAACTGAAGTCAGGTTCTCTGGAAGAGAAGCAAGTACTCTTAACTGCTGTACCATCTCTCTAGCTCTTTATTTGTTTTCGAGGCAGGGTCTTAGGGTCTTCCTCTGAAGCCCAGGCTGGCCTTGGTCTTCTGATCTTCCTGCCTCAGTCTCCTGAGTCCTGGGATAACAGGTATGTTTTCCCCATGCACTCCCTGATGAATCTACTTTTTTTTTTTTTTTTGGTCTTTTTGAGACAGGGTCTCCTTGTAGCCCCAGCTGTCCTGGAACTCACTATGTAGACCAGGCTGGCCTTGAACTCACAGAGATTCACTTGTCTCTGCCTCCCAAGTGCTGGGATTAAAGGCGTGCACCACCATGCCCAGCCGAATCTACTTTTTAAGTAAAAATTAAACAGTGGTACATTAGACCTAGCTGAGATGACCCTCCTCAGGCTTCAGAACCCCCTCAAGCCAACAGGAAGCAGGTAAATTTCTCACTTATTTAAATTAGATAAAATTTTCCTCCTGTGGCTACATTTAGAAACCTGTAATCAGATTTTTTTTCTTTTCCTTTCCTTTTTTTTTTTTTAAGGACTGGGAATGGAAGCAAGGATCTCATGAATATTAGTCAAAGCTCTACCAGTGAGCTCCATCTCCAGCCCTCTTTTCCCTATTTTGTTGTTTTATTTCAAGACAATGTCTCACACTGGGTGTGGTGTACAGCTTTAATCCCAGCACTGAAAAGGCAGAAGCAGGTGGAACTCTGAGTTCCAGGCCAGCCTGGTTTACATAGCAAGTTCCAGGCCAGCCAAGACTACACAATGAGGCCTTGTTTAAAAAAAAAAAAAAAAAAAAGAGATGGCTCAGTGATTAAGAGCACTGACTGCTCTTGCAGAGGATCCAGGTTCAGTTCCCAGCACCCACATGCCAGTTAATAACCATCTCTAACTCTAGTTCTAGGGGATCTGATGACCTCTTCTGGCCTCCACAGGCATTGCACAAATGGGTGCTCTTACGTATACACAGGCAAAACACTCTTACAAATAAAACTTAAAAAAAAAAAAAAAAAAAAAAACACAAAAATTAAAACCAAACCTGGCATGGTGGCACATACCTTTAATCCCAGCTCTCTGGAAGCAGAGACAGGCAGATTTTTGTGAGTTCAAGGCCGGCCTCGTCAACACAGCAAGTTCCAGGTCATCTGGGGCTACATGGAGACCCTGTCTCAAAAAACAAAGGAACATTAATCCCAGCACCCGGGAGGCAGTGGCAGGTGGATCTCAAAAACCAAAGCAACCAGGGAGACCCTGTCTCAAAAAGACCAACCCCCCCCCAAAAAAAACCCAAAACAAACAAAAACCCAAAGCAACAAAACAAAAAAGCTACTTCTAGAAAATTGCATTCAGTGTAACAAGGTTGTAACTCAGCATGCACGAGGCCTTGAGTTTGAGCCCCGGTCCCAAAAACCAGGATTTTTTCTTTTTCTGTCTTTTTGAGACAGGGTCTCCCTGTAGCCCCAGCTGTCCTCGAACTCACTATGTAGACCTGGCTGGCCTTGAACTCACAGAGATCTGCCTGCCTCTGCCTCCTGAGTGCTGGGATTAAAGGCGTGCACCAACCACCATGCCTGGCTCATTCATCCTGTTTTACTAATAGGGAAATGGAGGCCCAGAGTCACTACATAGCTTGTCCAAGGTCATACAGTTGCAAAGTGGCAGGGCTGGGATCCAAACTCAGGATCTAGAGTCCCAGGGCCTACTGTACTGTGCCTTTCTTCCTTTCAAGTTCTATAAATATTTATTGTTTTTATTTTATGTGTATGACTGCACTGCCTGCATGTATGTAAGTGCACCTGTGTCATGCAGTGCTTGAGGAGGTCAGAAGAAGGAGTCAGATCCCCTGGGACTGGAGTTATGGACTGTTGTTAGCTGCCATGTGGGTGTTGGGAATCAAACCTGGGTTCTCTGTTAGAGCAGTCAGTGCTCTTAACTGCTGAGCCACCTTTCCAGCTACCCCCCCTTTAATTTATAAACATTTTTGTTTGTTTTTGAGACAGGGTCCCACTATACAGGCCTGGCTGGCCTAGAACACACAATGTAGATCAGGCTGGCTTAGATCTCACAGAGATCTGCCTGCTTCTACCTTCCAAGTGTTGGGATTAAAAGTGTATGCCACATCCAGTCTTATTTTTAAACATTTTTTTAAATTTATGTGCGTGTCTGTGTGTATACACCCTTGCATGCAGGTGCCCACAGATGCCAGAAGAGAATGTTGACCAGAAGCTGGAAGTACAGGCAGTTGTGAGCCACCTAATGTAGGTGCCAGGATCTGAACTCAGGTCCTCTGCAAGGGCAGCCAGCACTCTTTAAGAGCTGAGCTATCAGCTGGGTGTGGTGGCACACACCTTTAGTCCCAGCACTCAGGGAGGCAGAGACAGGTGGATCTCTGTGAGTTCAAGGTTAGCCTGGACTGCATAGCTGTGGGGTTACAGGGAGACCCTGTCTCAAAAAGACCAAAAAAAAAAAAAAAAAGAGCTGAGCTTTCCCTCCAACCTCCTACTAAGCCTTTGGACCTGTAAGGATGATGTTGCTGTTGCTATGTATCAAAGAGCCTGGGTGTGGCTTTCCCTTGCTTCCTTCAACAGCAGGGGAAAGGCAAAGTGTTCACTTCCTGCAAACAGTCCTTTGAAGCCCAGTGCCTGAAGGACTGACTGCACAGTCTACAGCAGACCTTGGGGACTGTCTTCAGAGCAATTAAGCACCATCCATCCAGCCCCTTAAGCTGTGTCTCTTTGGATGTGGGTTGGAGGGGTGGGTCCTGCTAATAACAGCCCTCAGCCAGCGGTTACCTTTGGACTTGTGGGTGGCATGAAGACTTTGAAGCAAATGGCAGTTGGGTTTATATTTAGGGAGAAAAAGGGGGAAGAAAGCTTTTTTTCTGGATTATAACGGAGCCTGGCAGCACAACCTGTGCCTTCTTTGGGGGCAAAAAGCCTCCCCTAAGCCCTGCCTCTATCTGGGGGGTGTCAGACAGAATGAGTGGAGTTTTGGGAACCAGACAGACTCCTTCGCCTCCAGCAAATTCAGGTTGCTTTAGCACAATAAGCCTGGTATGGGGAACGCCTGCTGCGGCCTCAGTCTCCTGCAGGCTCTGCTCTGGGCAAAGTTTTTTCCTTGTGTTACCTCATCTGGTGTGAA